ATTAAGCATAGGTTTTTGTTGTTGTTTTGTTTTGTTTTCCATTTTGGTTTTGTTTTACTTTTCAGTTTCAGAGCAATAAGAAAAAGTGCTATGGAGTAGTGTTCAAATAATTACAAGACCTATAGAGTAGTGTTTGAAGCAGCTAACCTGCACAGCAGCTTCCTCGGGATCATTTCTCATTGGTTATCAACACACATGAATTTGAAATAATGTGTTTTATTTATCCAAAGTATTTTCTGCTTTAAACTCATATTTTGTGGTGTAAAGGAGCTGGTGTAGGGAGTAAATTAATCCAGGAATCCTTTGACATGAGGCCACTCACATTGGGAAGCAGGAAAGCACGTTTTATTGTCTCCCATGTAGCCGGCCCATCCTCCAGCTGGGAAGGAATAAGGCTCATTAGTAATAATGTGTGAGGTCTGACATGGACCACACGCAAGCTAACCATATAGCTGCGGCACTCCAAGACCTAACACATTTTACCACAAGGTGCTATGCAAAATGCTCGGTTGCAAAAGCTCTCAAAATGTGGCCAGTACTGCAAGAGAGATAACAGTGCATTGGTGCATTTTCTTTTCCCTTCTGGCTTGTTAACACATCTTCAGCAGGAGGTACCAAAGACTTTCCTAGCAGGTCTTTAAACCAAGAAATCAATTCACCTGAAAACTATGCCTTTAAAAACAGCAGTAGTGTATGTGGTAAGGGGAAATAAGTTTCCTTTGAATGCGGGCCCATTGGCATGGCTCCTAGGTGCCCAACGCTCACGGTATCTTGGGAACTGTACAGCTGTGACATGCCCTGAAACTCAGCCTGCAGCACACAGACGGGAATCCACAGAGTTAGAGACTGGAGACCAGTCGATCCCCTCTGTGTTTTCAATAGGAACATAGAAGATAGAGGGGGAAAAGAGCTCAAGAAAGTAAACTCATATGATAGATGTACATACATTAAGAAAAGCGAAATAACTGTATAAAAGCAAATGGAGTTTCACTTCCATAATAATTGTATTGTAATATCAAAAATGAGCAAGGAGAATCATTCATTGACTGAAAAGAGACAGAGAAATGATTCCGAAAGATCGAGTGAAGATTGTCACCAGGTTGTAAGAGACAGGCCAGTATCTACAACATAAAGAAAATTGGCAGAATTTCTGTGAGCCCATGACAATTTTGTGGATCTGTATGTAACCTAAAAATAAATAAAGCATTTTCTTTTGACACCAATTCATTTGAAAATGCAATAAAACAAAGAAAGGGTTGCTTCCAAAAATTAACTGTTAAATTCTTTAAGTACAGTATTAATAAACTGTGGCTTACTTCGGTATCATACTTTAGGTTGTTACGTACATTAAAATAGACTTTTTAAAATACTAAGCTAAAATGCAGATATATATGTGTAGATAATAATTACTTTACCTACATATATATATATATATATATAATATAAACAGAAGCTATGAAAATGACTTATTCTATATTCTAATTTATACCCATAATGAACTTATCACCAGTTATGCACTGCCATCATCTAATTCCTGACTTTCATGGTTAGGAAAATGTAACTCTGTAAACATTAGCAACACCACACCCTGCACGGCATGTGGAGTAAAATGAAGACTATATTCAAGTTAAATGTCTTGAGTTAGCCTCACTCAAATCCAAATCTATTCCTACCTACACTAAGAGAAAGAACTACAATTAAAATCCCACTCACTGATATTCTAGCATTCAATAACCGACACATAAAGTGTGACAAAGGTGAAAATCTTTTCTTATATATCACATAAAAGACCAAATGAGAAAGCCACATATATACACATATATAATATATAATCAATTAATGCATAGCTTTAATAATTTTAACAATATATCCTATGATTGCCCCCATGTTTATATAACAGAGAAAATAATAGAAATTATTTTACTCAATTCACAGATTTTGTGGAGCCAGAAGGATATCTCATTTTCCTGATCTGCTTCAAGAATCTTAAGATAAGATTCCTGATGCAAAGTGAAGTAGCGGATCTTAGCAGGTGTCTCAATGAGCAGCTCCGAATCTTACATTTCCTTGCTTTCTTGTGGTATCTCCTTATGAACAGCAGGTGATTAATTCTTAATGTTTCTGTGACTACACTGCATAGCACCAAAAATATGGCTATCTATAACCACACAAGCCTGCTCACTGTCTGATATACTGACCTTCACTTTCCTGTCTTTTCATAACTTACACTGCGGTCATAAGGCCAAAGTCAGGCCCTGTCTTGGAATTCCACTTGTCTTCAGTTGAGATCAAATAATGTGTTTTCTGGAGACGGAACACAGTGCATAAAGAATTCTGTTATGTAATTAGGCTCCTGTGAACCATCTGTTGATATAGCCAGTAGCAGTGGGAAATGAGCTTCAGCAAACACATAAGACAATTTGGGAATTGGCTTCTAGGTATATATTTTAGTGTTAGAGAAACTGCCATGCATTGTTAATGAAGCCCAGTAACTCCGTGCCAGCAGCAGTGTGAAGCATCCTGAAACTGTACAGGCATGCAGTGACACACTCACATGCACGTGGAACTGGAACTGGCCATCTTTCCTAGAACAAACTTTTCACCTCATTAAGAAAGACAAGAATAGTACCCACAGCTGGCTCAGCAGCTGACCATCAACACCTCTAATTGTATTCTTGTAGTCAAAGGGAAATAACCCAAAGCTTTTAGAATCAAATTGTGTTTCAGCTTTGGAAGGTATCGATCTTTTAAAACCACTATTATTTGAGACTATTTACTAAAAGAAGAAATATATGAAAATGGCACAGAAGTTATCTTATGGCCCTTTTGCTGCTTGTGTTAGAGTAACTATGTACATTTAAACACTGGACTGTGAACACTGATTCAAGTATAGCAAGTGTCATTACATACACCAATATCAATTTAAAATGTAAAGAAATTTCTATTTGTATACAAATATACAGAGCAGGAGAAATGCTGCACTAGATTCTGATGGATACATTAGCCTTCTGGGTAAAAATAATGAATGTGGATTCTTTGTTTAAGGGATCCTCTCGTCACATATCCTGAAGGACGATTCAATCTCCATCCAGTGAGACACTTAATAGTTTTCTGCCTGGTTAAAATTATATCAGAATGACATTATAAATTTAACAATGTAAAAATCACTTTGGTGGGGAGGAAAAATAAGGTATTGGAGTTAGCACACAGATACATTCAGAGAAACCTTTCAGATAAAAATAAATAAATAGATAGTAAAAAACCAATCTATCTACCGTTGTGGTTATAAACACAGTAACCTCAGAAATAAGCCAGAACCAAACAGGCAGCAACCAGCCAGGGAAATCCCAGCACTTATCTGCCCACTTACATCCTATGGGCTTAGACAGTGTAAAAATAAGAATATGAAAGTATTTTTTTACCTCTAGCAATGCACACTAGAAAAAAATGTGAATAGATGCACAATATCTTTTTTGGAAAATGTAAGCGCCGATGAAATTTTGAAAACCCTGTGCTAAGAGTAAACTAAGGGAAATATTACAAATTTAGGCTGAGGTACTAGATTTGGCTAAAAAAAAATAGAGAGGGGGAATGCTATATTAAAAATGCTATCAGGAATAAAACTGAATTGATGAATAGGAATTGGTCCTAATGATAAGTCATTATTCCTACTTTGGGCAATTTTGTCTATAAACTCTACTTGTCTTAGTGATTTTAAATGGTATAATTTTTTAAAATGTCTTTTTTTCAAATAGATAAAAATTAAAGGATGACACTACCATGGTTATGACTGAGCATTTCAGAGTAGATATACATAAACATGAATTGAAGTTTTGTCATTACAAGTATACAATATCGTCTAGTTCCTCCAGAGCAGCCCCTTCCTGAACACACACATTCAGGCAGTTTCCCATTCACTGAATAAGCTTGACATCATTTTTGCAACTTGAATGATAATTAAGGTAAGAAAATTACTGTGAAATCCTAGGTTGAAAAATGGAAATCTTAAAAAAAAAAAAAACGTTAGTTGCAATCTTATTTAGCAGTAACATTTCTTCCTCTATTTTATGTAAATTTGTGCCTTTAACTAACTGATCTGGATGATTTTGTCTGGAAAGATAGCTTCACAGACTATAGAGTGTATAAAAGAGATACAAAAACTGTCAACGTCCATCCCCATACCAAAACAACTGTAAAATAAAAGGACAAATATTCAGATTTACTAACGTTGCACAGTCATATAAGTGAGCCTAATATGTTGGTTATTTTGTCATTTCATTCATATTTATAGTGTAATTTGAATATTTTTAAGTTCATGTGTTTAGATAAGTACACCAAGAATTAAATTATTAAAGAGGTGGACACAAATTTTTTATCATAATGACCTGAGGCGAAAATCCAATAACCATAGAAATTCCTATCATCTGACATAGTAAAGGATTTTTACTCAACCATGATCCCTAGAATTACCTCAGGGACAAACAACAGCTCCTAGAGAGTCTTTAACGTATTGGCTAAGTTGGTAGAGGCCCCTCTGCGCCATGCATAGAAGCCATTGGAATATGAGTGATGCTCAGGTTGCTTTCTAAAGGAAGAAATGCACGGCAACAGAAAGTAAGTTCCTTTCTTTCCACCTTGCCATAATCATCAGACCTGTGTTCTTTTTCTTTTCAGAAGAACAGAAAACATTTTTCACAGTACAGCCACCTACAGTAGGTAAACCACGTGTATAAAACCGTATATACAGAAAACACCTCAGTCTTCAATTTGAAGGCTCTTAGTCAGGACAAGATCTGTTAGAGGGAACAGCCACTGAAGCTGTGGGCCACTGCCTGAGTCTTTTTCCTAAAGCCCAACAGGAAACATGAGACACGAAAGAGCGATGATGAACGGGAGTCACAATGTACATATTCAATTTCATGGAGTTATAGCTAAATTTCTCAGAAATTAGTTTGAATAAACTAGAAGACATGAAATAACCGATTCTTTCCGTCCATTGACAAAGTGGCGTTTATCTGGATTTCCAGAAAATGAAGTATAGATCCATATTGCCTTTCTGTCCTGGCAGATTGCTAAGATTTCAATGCATTAGTTCACAATTTCTGACTATCTTCTTCTGGCACAACTTCCAGTATTATCTGTAATGTTCTGGTTATTCTGTCTACAAAGAGATAAAGAAGAGAAATTAAAATGTAGGGAAATCAGAAATGCATAAAAATAGCAAATGACAAATTCTTTGGAGTTGAATACACACACACACACACACACCACCTATTTCATAGAGCGCTATCAAGAATGACTCTGTGGGAATAGCATCATGCTCAAGGCATTGACTTGTCACTTCCATAGCTTCCCAGGATGGCTTCTGAGGGGGATACATATTTTGTATCTAAAATAAGAGCTTGTATTTATGAAGCAAGAGGCTGCAAACATGTTGAGAGAGTAGGACTGAGCTTTAAAAGCCACTTCCTGTTGCATCTAAATCAGGATGTGGCCCTTGCTCTTGTCAGGCCAGCGCCGCCTCCAAAAGCAGCAGCAGAACATCCTTTCTGCTTTCGAACTCCCGGCTTGTCCTCACATAGGTAACTCGCAGGGTTCTAGGAACAGACACTCTTGTTTCCCAGAGCCTCATTAGGAAAGGCTTGAACCAGTCAGTTGTCCCCACACCAGCAACACAAGCATCACAGAGGCTCTAGAAAGGCGTTTTGTTCAAGCTCAGTCTTAAAGCTTACTGAATTGGGATGTGGCTGACAGAAACAAAACTGTAAGAACCTTCTGGAAATGATGGTTTCTGAGGTGATTTGCTCTCCACAGCCCAGGAACTCTACACCCCCTAGTTCTGTGGACGCTCTTGCTCGCCTCTTGTCATCAGTTCCTAAGAGAAGTCCTCACCAGCCTCGCCAGCCTCCACAGCCCATCCTCTCGGCGGCTCGGCCTCCACGGCCTCCACACGTGGCCCCTCTGCTCAGCCCTGACTCGCTGACACGCAAGCAGGGTTTAATGACTCTAAAAGAGTTATTTTTCATCCTTTGCATTATTCATGTTCCCCCAACTTCTTGGCCCTAGCACATGACACGTTTTTGTTTGTTTGTTTGTTTACATTAACTTTAAAAGACCTAGTACCGTGCTGGAAAACGACAGACTCGGCATAAATTGTATCGTGCCTGCGCTCTTTACGGTGAGCAGAAGGGAACCCTAGAGAGGAATCCAACCCCACACGAGCAGAAAGGGAGGCCGTAAAATTATTCCAAAGACAGAGTCTGGTGGGGGCTGTGAAATCTGCAAGTTAGGAAGGACCAGCGGCTCCCTGTAGGCAGGGCGGGGCTAGGACTCCTAGCAGAGCTAAAAGAACTGAAGAGTGGAGGGACAGAGGGGGACTGCCGTCAGCAGTGTCTCACTGGACACTATGTGGAAAAAGAACTCCACAGCCTGGAGAGCTGTGTACTTGTATGGGTGAGGCGAGGAGGGGAAAACTGGGAGCGAGGGAAGAGAGACAGAAATGTGCTGATTACCTGACTTATGGAACTGTATCCCCAGTGTAAACACCTGTCCAAGAACAGCATAGTTATTTAAAAAATAAAAATAAGGGGATGAAGGAGTTTGAGACATGAACATTGTGTGAGCAAGGAATCATGATGGTGTCCGGCCCTCCTCCGTGGAGAGGCCCTGCCAGCCCTCCGCTCCTGCGCTCCTTCCTCTCGCCGCCTTGGCAACTCCACACCTATGCTGAAGCTCCATACAGGGTGCATCCCTCCCTGCATTCCTGCATCCCTGTGCTCTGAATTCCCACGCATCTTTCTCCCCTATATTGGAGCACGGCATCCATTCTAGACCAATGGGAAGCCACTTGGAGTGGGGAGTGCACTGTGGCTCATCACTCAAAGGGCCGGCCTCTCCCCTGAGGTGCTGGCCAGAGGTCCTCTCTCTTCCTCCCTGGTGACAGGTCTGGTCACATTCTGGGAGCACTTGGCAGTGATTGATGTTGAACTTGAGTACCTGTTAGAGTTGAGCAACTTGTCTTTCTAGGCTTTCTTACTCCACTGGGGTCAGAAAAATGCCTTGCCAAGGCCAGTCAGGCCTGGGGAAGCTTCTTGCTTGCCAGGAAGGCTAGAGATCATGTGATTTTCCTGTGACATGCATTTCTGCTGGTCCTTTATAGTTAATGTAAACAAAAATGGCACATATTTTCACTTGTATGAAAGTAGAAGAATGAAACTTGTTGCGATTGCTTTAAGAAGTGGAAGGAGGGAGGGTGAGGGAGGAGGTGAATGTGAGCAGGGCACATTGTGTGCATGTATGGGACAATCAAAATGAAGCTCCTTATTCTATAATATACACTAACTAAAATGTCTAAGATGTAAAGTAAAACAAGATATATAGGCATAGAACAGGACTTTCTGAAAAGGTGAGAGCAAGAAATGACATTAATCAGAAAGCTTCTGCGCACAGATGAGACAATGTACAGAGAGCCTACAGTCGGGGGGGGGCGGAGTTGGGGGAGTCTTTGCCAGCTACTCACTTGAAAATTTATTTATTTTCTAATATCCAAGATGTGAAGAATTTTTTTAATTCAACATCAACACCTCAAAATAATGAATACATTGGCAAATGAATTAGACAAAGAATTACAAGTTGCCAACAAATACACAAAAAAGCCCAGCATCCTTTCCTGCGAAGGAAATGTAAATCCAAAGGTTTTCCATCTCATCTCCTGTCAGACAGCCATCATCAAGACAACACAGTTTCACCTCCTTTTATGACTTTGCTTTACTTTCAAGTAAATTTACTCTGCTTACCTTTAAAAAATAAAAGAAGACAACACACAAGAGCAACTACTGGCAAGGGGGTGGGGGAAAAGGAGCCCTTACACACTGTTGGTGGAAGTGGAAAATGTCCCAGTGAGTGAGGAATCATTATGGAAGTTTCTGGTAAACTGTGAATGGAACTACATATAGTTCTATAGGTAGCACTGTAAGACCTTGTCATCACACTCATGAAACCAAAGCCAGCATGCCCTAGATACACTGGCACTCATGTGTATTGTCACACAATTCACAAAAGCTAGCTGTGCCATCCACCTCTGTGTTCATGAACAGGAGAATGGATATAGAAAGGGTAGTATCTGCCCGGCCATGAAGAAGAATGAAATATCATTTACAAGAAAATGAATGGAACTGGAGATCATCATGTTAAATGAAATAAGCCAAACTCAGAAAGACAAACATTACCTATTTTTTTCTCGTGTGTGCAACCCAGAATTAAGAGGTAAAAACAAACAAAAACAAGACATGAAAGTCAGGTGCCAAATGGCTCACACCTGTACTCCTGGCTACACAGGATGCTGAGCTCTGAAGACTGAAATTTGAAGCCAGCTTGTGGAGACAAATCTGTGAGAATCTTAAATCTATCAAAAAGCCAGAAGGGCAGCTGTGGCCCAATAGAAGAGTACTAGACTTGGGAAAAAAAAAGTCAGGGGAGATCTCAAGGCCCTGAGTTCAAGCCCCAGTCCTGGCAGAAAAACAAAATTGTTACAATGAAATCCATTTGTTTGCACATTAAAAAAAAAAAAGACATCACTTTTTTTCCTCCAGCGGTGTCACATACGTGATCTCACTTTATGCCTGGAATGCAGGTCATCTGGGTCCTTAAGGTCAGGCTGAATTAATTGAGAAGGTTGCATTGCTTTCTTCAAGAAAAGACTGCAACTGAGCCAGCCACCATTGAGGGATGTCTCATGAATTCTGTTGTCTGGACATTCTGTGGGCTGTATGTCTTAGGACCCTGATGTTTCAAAGTTAATGTCCACAAAAAGAGACTGCAGTAATTCTGCTGGTGCTAAGGCTTTGCTTTTAAGTACCCTAATCTTCCAACTCCCTCCCTACAAGAGAGGGACCCACTTCCTGTCACCCCCTCTTAGGCTCAGCTGTGGGGGGGGCAATAAACAGAGGAAATCGCGGGGCAAGGCTGCTGCTAGCCCAGCCCAGGTCCCCGGGTCTTACTACCTCTAACTGTGGCTTCCTTTCCTGAGAAGCTCATGTATCTGTAAATAAGTAAATAATATAAACAACAAACCAGAAGAGCCAACTGCTGTGTCACAGATGGCAGGGAAAATGTTCTCAACTGTATCATAAGAGCACATTTTCTCCTTGCTCTGGAAATGGGAGCCCACGAGAAATGGTCCAACACTGGCATCCTGTGGCCGGAGAGCCTCATCAGATCTGGGGAAATCCCACACACTTGGGCTCTGGGCACTGCTAACCAGCTGCCTGCCTGTCGGCGTCTCCTCGGAGCCGTGTGGTCACTTTCTCGTTTCACAGAAATGGCACAGGTAAGCTGTATTTTGATGCAGTGTGATTTCCTGAGAGCTAATCTACCCACCTCTATGAGGATAAAGAAATAAAAAGCCTGCTCACGTAAAAGCTAGCAGCGTTTGCCACACAAAACAAAACGCTATTCAATCTCTGAAGGGGCCCCTGGTCGCTGTCCCTGGGGGCCAGAGCAGACACCCTGGGAGCAGGGAAGGGTGGCAGTATAGGAAGCTGGTGCTCTGTGCGTCGGTGTCTGTTTTGTTTGGGCCAAAGGCTAAGAACACACTTGCTATTGTAGCAATAAATATTATGAATTTTCTTCATCATGCTACAAGAATGCTGCCTAAAAGGAAAATCAAACGAAATTACAGAGGATTGTTGCTCTTTTTTGCTTCTCCCTTCCAAGGAGGCCATCAAGAGAGTTACGATGATCACAGTGTAAAGCAGAATGGCTGCGCTCCCTGGTCAGACCAAATGGCACTGGTGAGAACTAAATAACCATTCTGGGAGAGCCCCATTTCTGCTCATTTCACAAATGGCTGCTGTTGAGTGCGTGCAGGGGCCTTGAGATTCAAGACAGAAAGATAGAAAAAGCAAAAAACCCTCCAAAGTTACATAAGCATGGAAAGACCAGGAGGAATGAAGCATAAAAGTTATTGTTATGAACTGATCAAGACTTGAAACAGAGCACCGCACATCAATGGGAATAGACTCAGATTTAGCTATGAACAGAAAGGGGGAAACACTTCCTGTGGGAAAGGTCAAGGAGCTGGCTCCATCGTCTGCTCCCCCTCGGAGGCTCTCAGCCCTTCCTTCCTCTCCAGGCTCTTGGTTCTCATCATGTTCCGGGCTCTTAAGTGTCTCTAGACCTGGGTCTCCACGGCAGGAACTCTCACCTCTCCTAAACCCTAGCGAGGAATCAAGTGATCCCAATTGCAAATGTTGTTGAAGAAGACTTCTTTTCCTGTTCTAACCAGGCTCCGCAGTGGGTATCCACAACAGAGAAATCTAACCCAAGGCATTCTACAGAAAGTATGGCTTAATAAGAAATAGAGATCAAATACATAGTTCAAGGGTCAGTGTGTCTGTGTCAGCCTTTAAGACCCAGCATGCATAGTAACCCTTCTTTAGGGTATAGAATGGAAAATCCTGGTGGAAATACTGGAAGAAGGTCTAAAGACAGCAAATGCCCATTAAAAGCTAATGAAGAGCAGTAGCAAGATTGCTTTAAATCACTTTGTGTAACACATTTCAAGTGTGTGACACATTCAAAATTATATATATATATATATATATACATATATATATAGTCAACATATATAGATTTAACACACACATATATAAAGATATAGATTCTCTTTTGGCTAGCATTCTTACTATTTGTTAATAATTTCACTAGCAATCTTCCTAAGACATGCTATTTCTTTTGCACTACTGGGGTTTGAACTCAGGACCTTATGTTTGCTAGACAATCACCCTACCATATGAATTGTGCCTCTTGAGTCCTCTCCCTGAACACTTTACAGGGATTAAGTACATTAAAATATAAACCAAAGAGAAAGTTGTATTCTAAATGCACCAAACTCACCAGCCTAAACCTCTCTGTTCATCTGTCTACCACTGATAGACTTAAGTTCTATTGCTCTATTGTCACGCGCACCCAAGTAAGCAAGGAAACCCACCTCACCAGACAGCTTTCAGTTCACAGCTAAAAGGTCGGCTGCTGGGGAAGGGCCCTGGAGGCTGAGTCCTGTGCCCTAGCCTTTACAGGGGTATGCCTTGTACCCCATCTCTCTCTCGCCCCCTTCCCCCTCCCCCTCCCCCTTCCCTCACCTCTCTCTGCTTCCTGGCTGCAGCTTTGCTCTGTCACGTGCTCCATGGGTCAATAGAAATCCTGCCAGCTGACCACAAGCCACTGGAAACCCTTTCCCCTCCCAAGTCGTTCTTACCAGACATTTTTTCATAGCGGGGAAAAAGAACCACGCCAGACGTTGCACCCAGCAGGCGTGCGCTCAGATCTTAACTCTATGGTTATTTTTTTTAATCGATACATTCAAACCTAAACTCTGCCTCCACGCTGGGCCTGGCTGCTCTGGCTGGGACGGAACGCCTCGCCTGGATTTGCTCTGAGCAAGGACAAGCCCGTGGCACAGAGGCCCGGGAGCGCCCCCCACCCCGCGTGCTTTCTGCAGAGGGGCCTCAGACACCGTCTCTAGTCCCGTCTCCAGCCACGCTGAGCCGCTGAGCGCCCCCTCCAGCCCAGCCGTCTCCCGGCCCCGTGGGGTCCACATCAGCCTCAGTTCTCACCAGTCCTGCAGCAGACCCCAGCACTGTCCACCCCCAAGTGGCCCCTTCTCCCAGCCACCCTCGCAGGGCCCAGAGGGCCTGCCTGAAACACCAAACCCGCCTGCGTTCCAGCTCTGACTGCTCAAATCCGTGCAAGCGGGAAAGACAGACACCCATCCTCCCAGGTCTGAGCCAGGACGGCATGCTTCACCTCGGGAAGCTCTCGGAAGGCCTCAGTAAGGACGTGCATGTAGAAATCTCACCATAAACTGGGCTATGCCTCCTCTCCTGGTGGCTTTGGCTGCTATACAGTGAGCCTCTGCGACTCACGACACCTTTCAGAGTAATATTAGAACCCTGAGAGTTCAGACGTTTTCAGCTCCCACGCAAGTCCCCACCCAATCTCCCTCGCTCTCCTCAAAGTTATTGTGATGATAGGGAATGGCTAAACCGCATTCTGCTTCCATGAAAAGTAATTAGGTTCCTATGGGGGTGGGAAGAGCAATCACATGGTTTATAGAACTGCTGATAAAACTCTAAACACAAAAAGCTCTCCTTCTAGCAAGCGAATAGAGCCATGAAAGCCAACACCCTGGAAGGGCAAGGTGGATGCCCCCAAAGTCCTTCACTTTTTGGCTTCTCGGGCCTCCTGAGGAGGGGGAACGCCCCGCCCCGCACAGCCATACAAACTCTCCACTCCACCACGCCTCACCAGGCCCCAAATGCTGAGCATCCTTACCTGAGGCTCTTCTAAACCACCTGGGCTTCTTGTCCCATATAATAAAGAGATAGTAGGCAGGCACCCCAGTGAGCGTGATCACACAGCCGATGCCCGTGCTGAACGGGTCGGAATAAAGGGAGAGGACCACCATGAAGAGGCAGGTGAAGGAGAACAGAGCTGGGATAAACAGCGGCACCTGGAACACAGCACAGAGAAAAGGCATTAGTACCACCCATGGATGTGGGCGGCCGTGAGCACAAGATGTGTGACATGCATTCGTCACGCCACCAGACACCAGTCACCTGAGCCTCCAAGTCCCTGGTATGGGGCCCAGAGAGCACGTGAGACATACTTCCTTTAATTGCATTTTTACTTATGCTTCGATCTTTTCTCAAGGCTAGAAAAGAGTATTTCCTTGGAGCCGATCTCTTGGAATTGTTTGACCAGTGAAGTACCATTATCATTTGTGGTTTTGATTTTAAAAGATTGGTTTTTTGATAATGATGATTAGAATCCTCTCCGACGTGAAGTCGAGAGTGCCGGCAGCTCGCTCCATGACGAGGCCTTTCAGCGCGCATTGATTTTCTGTTGAGCTTCACAATGACAACTGACAGGGCAAAGCAACCAACTCCTATTCAACCACTAATAAAGATGCTGCGAGCATCAGGCAATGCATATAATTAGCAGCAACCTCTGACAGCGTGGCTGACAACATTATCTTTGCTATTTCTTAAAAGCGAGGAAACAGTAAGGTCAAATCCATCCGTGAACTGCCAAGGCCCCAGGAGGTGGCACGCACACCCTTCAGCCCACCCCGGAGGGCAGGCTGGTTCTAGGAAAGTCTTTTCTCTACGAAGCGACGAGCTCTCTCTCCTTGCTGGCTTTCCCTTTCTTTCCCTTTTAGACACAGGCCCATGGGCCAGTCACCACGTACAAGTGCTTGAAGCTCCTATTTGGGAGTGCAGCATCTGTTTTAGAATTTTAATAAAATACCTGCCTCTCTGTGGCAGGGCTGGCCACCGATCTTCCACATGAAGATGGATAGAAGTTTTCCGCCCTTTGAACATGAGATCATTGGGCCCATTCATGAAAAATCAGCCTAACCATCACCCATTAAGACTACATCTTCTCAAACACATGACATACAATGTTCAGTCCATCATATTAAAAAAATACCAGACACCATGATTTCCCAAGTTAAAATAAATCCAATACAAAGGGCACTTCCTGCAATAGTTCAGCATTCTACCACAGCGCCGTCCCCTGCTCAGCCGCCCATCATCGAGAGATGACAGAGGGAAGACTGCGCGTTAGAGAGAGATTTATGTAAGCCATCCACACTGCTGAGGTTACCTTGAAAGGACGATGCATATCTGGGCGTTTGTATCGAAGATAAATCAACCCAGCAACTGCCAGCCCAATAAAAAGCCACCTGGCAAAACTGAGGAAATTCAAAAGACTGTAGAGGTCTCCAGAAAACAGCATTATTATTGTCAAAGGATGCTAGGGAGAAAAAAAAGAGAGAAAATCGAAGTTTGATGATTTTAAAGATGACAAACAACTACACATTTATTATTATTATTATTATTATAACTGTTGTGGTTGTGCTAAATGTTATCTGAACTGCTAAAATGACATCATGATCAAAACTCAACATCAACAAGCTTCAACATTCTGTTCTTATAGTCTCTTTATATATGTCACAAGAGCAGAGAGCCATCATGTGACAACCCTTTATCCAAGAGGAATTCTCCATGAAGGTATTGTTTTGTTGGTGTTTGGTGTTATTTTGTGGCGACTTCCTTTTGCATTCAAGAGAAGAGGATGTGCTTTCAAAAAATGGAAGACAGGACACTCATTCCAAAGTTAAAGACCCAGAGATCCGAGGTAGCTCGCAAATAACCAATAATAAATATGGAGATGCATACCCAACGGCAAACTCAGAGCAAACTCTGTAAAGATTTTCTGATGAGCTCCTAGCCACCCAGACACAGGAAACACAGATTCAGGGTGAGTCCTAAATCTGTTGCTTTTGAAGAGCAAAGTGCTGCCCTTTGCTTCTTCCACATTTACTGCAGCCGCTACTAGGCACATGTGACCCTCAGGCTCAGAGGAGAGCAGAGAGGTCAGTGCCAAGGACAAATGACTGACAGCTGGTTTCAAAGGAAAGCTTTTGTCACGGAACAGCACAGCACACTCTGTTCCTACATTGACGTCAGCCCCCAGATTCCACACAGAGAGCATGTGAACCTCAAAACAAAAAACAACAAACCTCCTTTCCAAGGAAACATTCTGAAACAAATTAAATGCATAGGGGAAGAAAATGTTCATCGCATTTCTATGGTGCTCCTGTCGACAGATTCCAGTGGAGAAGAATGCTACAAAACTCACAGGTAAAAATGGCTATAGCATCGCCAATGGGTACTTTTATACTTTTTATCGTCTTTTGTAGCCTACATTTTTATAGTCTTTTGTAACACTATGCCCTGCATAGAGAATTCTGCAACCTCAATTTGTGTTTCAGGGCTTGTCTTTCTCTCCTGTAAATTTGCTCTTAATTATCTTAGTTTGAATCAAGGAATCATTGGACTCTTCAGTTATTTAGGATATCATTTATCCTTGGAATCATTTTCTGTGCGTTTCATTATAAAGGAACTGTGGTTGGGTGCTGATGGCTGATATCTGTCATCTTAACTACTCAGGAGGCTGAGAACTGAGGACAGTGGTTCAAAGCCAGTCAAAGTAAAAAAAAAAAAAAGTCTGCGGGACTCTTCACTGAACCAGCAAAATTGGAAATGAGACTCTGACAGAACACCAGCTTTGAACACAAAGCCAAGCAAGAGCATAAGGCTCTAAATTTAAGCCCTAGTCCTAGCACCAAATACCACACACACACACAAATAATAATAATAATAAGTAAATAATTAAAAGCTAATCATCGGCACTTGGGTGTTTGGGGACAGTGGCTTTGAGCTGTGCTTTCAGTATGAAGTGGGAACATTTTACACACTATCTTTCCTTAGGGATTTCTGAAGATGAGAGGGGCTGCATGGTTCTCCTGAGACCTTGCAAATTCCCACTGGGGTGAAGGGAAGTGATATCATCTCTTTCCCTCAAGTATCAACTCCACATCAGAAACCCTGCCTGGGGGACCGGACGGGACAGGGCTGGCACACAGGGCCAGGCCACAGGGAACGGGAAGGCTGCGTGCTCTGCTGCAGGCCTTTGGCTCATGCAGGTTTCCAGAGGTCACCCCCTTCACGTGCATTACCAGGATGATCACGGCTGGCAGAGGCGTGTGCTTCCGGATGTGAATCATGGAGAGGATCTCAGGAAGGTGACCCTCTCGCGACGCCACATAGAACAGCCTGGTGGGAGAGACACAGAGGTGGCGTGGAGGGTGACATTTCACAGGGAAAACCCGGAGTTCCCAGAGGAAAATGTGTATCGTTTTCACTTCAAACAGCTTGGCATTTCTGAGCTGATTAATTGGGTTGCATTTTCCAGATGCAGTAGAGAACATTACACAGAAGGCTGCCTTCGAGACAGACAAAAATCTGAGAACATCTTTTCTCTTGAAGAGAAACATCAGGGTTTAAGTAAGCACAGCGCTTCTTACGCGTGAATAGCTGGTGGTGAATTTATTTCTGGACCTTAAAGTATTGCTAATCCAGTCCAACATGGACACACACATACACACACACACACACACACACACACACGCCCAACATTCATTAACTATCTGACTAAAACAAAACTATCTGATTGAAACAAAAAAGACTCTTGCATCATACAAAAGCAACACGGGATGGTATTCTCTTACTTCACTCTTGTAAAATAAAAGATCTTATTGCCAGAAATAAAATGCTGGTGTTAGACTGTAGACACGCTATTTTTCTTTAAGGCCATGTCCTCAGTGTAGGCTATGTATAGACAGGCAGCACCCTCTCCTGGTCAGAATCCAACATGCACCCACCGCAAACCTGCATATCCCTTTAAAAACAACAGGTGTGAGGCTGGGTTGCTTTTCTTTTTAAAGTTATCCTTATCACATCCAATCTCAAACACTGAAATGTGTTTCTGGAAATAGGTGAACTCGCTCACCTGGAGACAGCAAACACACCGCCGTTCATGGAACCAAAGCAGGAGAGGGCAACAAAGATGGGCACTGCTAATGAGAAATTCCCCAGCAACCGCTCCGAAAAGGTCTAGGGAAAGAAAAGACCAGGTGAATTCATGCCTTTCCCAAAAATGAATATATATATGCATACATATGAAACCATTTTAGCTAAACTTGCTGCGTGACTTTCTATCAGGCTGGCCAAACGTGTGTGTTTTAGAATCCTTCTTTGTGGTTAGGGTCAGCCTCCATCCACAGCGTAAGAGGAAGCAGCACCAGCACAGATGCTGGGCTAAGGTCTCTGCAAGGCTCCCCCCCTCTCCCCCCGCTGGGCCTGGACCCCTCCTGAATGTGCGGCCGCTGTGCTGTGTGTCCTCATGTCCTCACTGACTCTGATCATAGAAAAAAGCTCCCTTCAAGAAGGTCCTCCTGTAGGAGGCAGAAATTCTTCTAGACAAAACAGTCTCTTCCATTTGGAAAGCCACATTTTTTTAGAGCAAAGCCAGGCTATCCACTGAGACGTATTATTTAATCACCAATACAGCTGCTGGACGGTAACTAAAACACCCAGACGACTTGATTATTTATATCATATAAAGAAAAAAACAAAAGGGTCCCCCCCCAGAAAAATTACACTGGCTAACCTACTGTGTAGGGGATCACTTGCCAGCCCTGCCCCTGGGGGCTTCCTTCCCTGATTTTCAGTAACAAAAAGTCAGAAACATAAATGCAGACTCAGCCAGCCACAAAAGGAAGCAAGAACAAAATACTAACATTTCCTAATATGCCATGCATGACACTGAATAGTTCTCATAAAGGATACAGTTCCCACTCCCCTCAAAAATATAGGGGAATTTTTTTATTAAATTGCCCATGGTGCAGCTGGTGCTCTGCAGACAGTGGGCCCCATTGTGCCCCCAAAGTCAGTCCTGCCCCTTGACAAGGGAGGGGAGAAGCCGGGGTGATGTCCGGCCTCCTGCCTGTCAGAGAGGAGGAAGGGGGATGGATCACTGTCTTTTTCAGTGCAGTGAATTCAGACCCAGGTTCATACAAAATGACCTAATTTACTCCCTGTGGATGCTGCCGATAGGAGCAACACTGTTGTCAAAGGAACTGGCACTCGCTAATGGGGAGATCACTAAATTTTTAATTCTTCAAACCCTCATTGTTGGGAGTTGAGGAGTGCATCCTCTCTCCTAAGCTAAATTCCGCAGCAACATAAAAGTCTGTGTCAGAAGAAATAATCCTCTCTCACACGACCTCTGGGGACCAAGATGGCCCTAGGGTCACCTAAATTTTGAGAAATGTTGGAGGAATGAGGTGAATCTGCTTCTTAGGAAGGTAGAAATGTACATTTGCATTTTTAATATGCTGAGAAGCATTCCAGCAGCAACATCTGTCTCACTTTTAATTACCTAGTATTTCCCAGATTTATTACTATCCCAAGGCGAGAATTCCAAGGATATATTAGGAAAAAATGTATAATCATATTTAACCTGAAAGTTCTTATAGGATGCTTTGGAGAAGGATTGTAACTCAGCATTAGAAAGGTCTGCAAGGCAGGAAGACTACTGAGTGAACTAAACTTTGCATTCCAAAACAACTATGTTCATTTCCACGCAGTAACTATCCACCTGTCTTCCAGACATGTTGGGAATGAACCAGCAGCGCCTGCAACTCTCCAGCCCTGATGGATGCTCCAAGCAGGGAGAAGAGAGAAGGTTTTATAGAAAACTTCAAGAGAAACCACACAGCATTTTAGCCATGTCGGTTCCATGGAATATGCAAAGGGATGCTCTAGAAGTGTTTTTACTTAAATATTCATTATCATTTGGTTCAAGAAAAGATTACTGAATTTCAAAACACTTTCTCCTGAAGGAAACTACCAGGAAATGGTGCCGAGTCGCTAAGCTAACTTCAGCTGCGTGCTGTTGTGCTGTTTCCGACGGGGCCTTACCACGGCCACGGCCTTGGAGAGCAGCAGGTCCTCGGGGCTGAGCGTGGTGAAGTAGGCCACGTTGGTGAGCACGTAGCCCACGGTGACAATGCCCATGGAGATGCAGATGGCCAGGGGGATGGTTCTGAAAGGCACAGCGGAACCGAGTGTTAGTTGCCTGTGGCTGGGCAGCCCGGGTTCCGGGACACAGCTCTGCTCATCCGCGTGAGGACTGCAGGCTCAGCCACGCCTCTGTCACACAGGAGGGGGCCCTCGGTCAGTCCCGGCCCCTGCTGCGCCCCACGCCCGGCCGCGCGTCCTCCTCCTGGCGTTCCAGGGAAGGCAGCAGCCGTGTTTCCAACATACGAGGACAGGTGTGATAAGCAGCGGGAAGCGAGATCCGTCCACGAGGCACCCCACGAGGCCTCGGCCACCCTGCTCCAGGTCGTGGCTCTCTCAGCCGCAGCAGCACAGGTCAGGCCACCAAGGGACCCGATGGTGCCGACACCGAGTGACTTGGAGAGGGACTCACGCCCAGGCCGTGAGATGTCTACTTCTACTGCACCGAGAAAGCCAGGGAGCTACGCACCCTAACCGTGCAATCCCATGTCACCCGCACACTCGCGGCTCCTCCTTGCCTCTGGTGACTCCGCTGTGTGCAGGCAGCTCAACCCTTCCACCCCCTGCACACGGGCTGCTCACTTCTCAGCCGGCCCAGGCAGGAAGGAGCAAGAGGACAAAGGCTCGGTCTCTGACACACCATGGGGAACAGACTACCCGCTGGGGAACAGCAGTATCCCCAGCTAAGAACACACACACCAGCCAGGCAGCCACTGGCATTCATTAATTCAACAATTCATACATGCTGCTCTGAGCCTGGTGCTTCCCCTCAACCCCAAGGTCTCTAGCCTTGACGGGGAAGCGCCGTGACTTCTAAATCCTGGCCCTGGCCTCCAAACACAGCAGAAGCAGCTGTTCCCTGCTTCTCCAATAAGAAGGGGGTCCTGGGGAATTTCCTGCTAACACCATGACAGGCGGCGCTAGCGATGATTGACAGGTACCTGGGAAACGCGAGGGGGATGGACATGTGCAGCGTGCATGGGGGATGACTTCTGTTCTTCTGGGGGAAAGAACCCAAGTGGATCCAAGTGAATGCAGACAGGGTTAGAAGGCAAACCTGAAGGACAGGGTGCACACACAGCACAAGCCCCCACTGCGTTTATTTTCAACCTGGATTCTTTAGGCTTTGATGATGTTCCCAATGGGGAATAAGAGGTTCTGTAGAGAAGACAGACAAGAGGGGGAGAGGAGAGGAAAGTCTCTGGTCCCTGCAGGCATATGATCAGGTCATTACTAAAAAGCTCAGAGCCATTGCTACATGCAGTGAGGTGATCTAACATATCCAGAATGCTGAGCAACAGAAGGAGACATATGTCTGCAACCTGGGACTGTCCCCTCCTACCCCCCAACATAGCACTGAGCCTTGAGGGCTCTCTGCCTGGTCCCCACCTACACGCTTCGGCCTCCCTGAGGGTGGTTTTCTGAACTAGATGCTAGAAAAATCCAGCCTCCTGATTGGCTTCCTTTCTTCCTTAGGTTGTCAATAACCAAAACACAGTGTGCCCTGTCACCAGCTGCCCTCCGACTGACATTCCATTAGACACATTACCTTCGGTTGAGGAAGAAATGGAGGTAGTGAGAGATTACATAACGGTTCAGATATACTACTGGCACGCAGAAAGCCGGAATGCAGCAGTTACCATGCTCAGTGCATACCCTAGGAGTTAGGAAAACTAAGGGGAGGGGTTGAGTTGGGAGGGGTAGGGAGGAGTGGGGATAGGGTGACATGGACCAAGAAGCAATGTATTCATAAACTGACTTGTTGAATGGTAACGCCTTCATGCCAGTACTTGGATATAATAAAGATAACATGTAGATTCTACTTTCAAAGCGGTACACTTCCACCAGCCAAGCTCCGTCTCTCCCCCGTGAGGTAGCGTCTACGCTCTTCATTTCCAGGAAAATTATAGTTATTGGCTATAAAATATATTGGAAAGCTCTTGGCAACATTGTTTCTTGTGGATTTACAATTTTCTTACTGTGAAAAAGTGAAAAAGGACTTAAAGCTAAGATTTTTATCGTGTTTCTGTAAAATATGAATTGTTAATGACAAGACAATATTTTCAAAATAGGTTCTTGTTCCTGAAAAGGAAACTGGTCCACAGGATAAATTTTCCCAGGCAAGTTTTTATAGGAGAGACAGAAATATAAGCACACTGGTCCAAAAGCTGGAATGCCTTACGAGTTAACCACATGAGATAAGACATTAAGAGGACCAATCGCAGATTGGAGAGCACAAGCTGAGGCCTGAAGGTGGTGCCCAGCAGGAGCTAGCTCGGGCTCCCCTCTGATTACACACAGAGCATGTGCAGCCACGTGAGCAGGGCAGGGCATGGCGCCAAAGGCCTGGCACTGGTCCTCGTGTTCCATTTCACACCGAGGAAAGGGTGGACATGGGGAAGTTCTCAGGCGACCTTGGCATAAACAGCCTCACTTACAGAAGAGGGCTGCTGACTTGTTCAGGGAAGGCACCACCCAGTGAACTAACTCCCGGTGGCAATCACAGAGCCTTGGAGACGCCCACAGAGCTGATAGAAGCTCTTAGGCGATACCGGAGCCAGCCTGCTGGGGACCGTAGATTCAGGAAGCAGAAAAGCACCCAGGCTAACTCATGACGAAAGCAAATGGCAGGGAATCAATCAAGGAATCAATCAAAACCTCTGAGTTACTGCGCGGTCATTATGCTGAAGGAAACTAGCCACACCCGTGAGTGCCACACTTTCTGACACGCTTGAACACGTTGGCTGGGATAAACAACACATGAGGGTCTGGAGAGAAGCGACTCCAGCTATCAGAGCTTTACGTCGTTACATACATTCTTCCGATGAGCAGGGGTAAGCGTACGAGTGTGATATTTTTATTAACTGCAAACTCTCCTCCATCCAGTTCTGGTTGTTTTGCTCACAGGCTGGTTTTGAACAGTCATCTGTAACTAGGCATCTGTGTGATGCAGGGATGCACAACTGTGTGTGTGTGAGACTGTTCCTGAAAGTTCCTGAACTATCTCCACAGAAGCACTTCCATTCTGAAGGCAACGCCTTCCAGAATGGCTTCTCTACGATGGGCACTGGCTTTTCTTCATAAAATCTACAAAGCACTGAAAATACATTTCAGCTGCAAATACATGGCCCCCATGTCAAGTCTTTGTAGAAGGAAAGTGAGTATGAACAAATACCAAACAAAATGGCCCCTGGAAATAGCAGGTGACAAACACAACGGAACAGTTCTCACAGAGGCTTACTGATATGACCAGTCATAAAAGTAGTAAGGGAAAAACTGAAACCTGAACCCAGAACCTTCCATGAGATTAGGGCTTATCCAACCTACTTTTATAATCCGTCATTATACAAAAATGCATCTCATTTCATTCAAATGACTCAATATCAGATCACTGACATGTTTCAAGCCAACTATATTTTTATGTACCCAGCGGTCACAAAATAGTATAGGATGTAATTTTTCAATGTACTTTGCACATCTACGTGAGCGTTTTGGAAAGGCCTGTGTTCACCGCTTGGTGTCAGCAGAAGTGACTATCACTGTCACACAGAATGCGTACGCCCAGCTTGATTCTCCAGATTGTCAAGAAGACTTGAGACTTAGTGGAACTTGGAATATTCCGGAATACACTAGTCACTTAAAGTCTGGGGTATTCCGGCTTTGTTTTGTGACCTGTACAAAATCTCCAACCAGTCATGCAATCCCTTTATCTGATACACCTAAGGGCCGCTGACCCCTGAGCATCTCCAGTCATCATCCTGCCATGTAACTGGCGTGATGGCAAGAAGTTCTGTGAGAACCTATTCTTACACTTTCTGGAAGCTTCTAAGAGAAGGAGCTGATGCTTTGCTTTTCTACTACAAAAAGAAAAAAAGGTATCAGCATTTAAACATTTTTTTTCAGTGCTAGAGGAAAAAGAAAAGATGCAAAAAGGAAGGATTAAGAAAGGCAGAAAATAACCAGCATTTACAAGGTGAGATGCAAATAAATAAAAATGAAAATAAGGGATTTCATTTTAAGGATTTTAAGAACGTTCTCTTGACACATTGGGGACAATTTGCTTATGTAAAATTGAAATGCAACTGTGATTCATCTCCACATAAAGTATTAATTGCTATATTAAGTAACTTTTGATTCTAAGTATTTATCTCACATTCCATCAGTGTTTCACATTTTCTTCATAGTGCCTCTGGAGAGACCTTGAAAGTTTTTCTGTAGCTCTAACCTAGAAATAATTCTAACATCTTTTACTTCTCTCTTCTTTTTCAATTCACAAATTTACTTTCTGTTGCATTACTGTGTGCTTTATCACCACAGCCTTCGCTACAGCCTAAAACAATACATGAAGAGATGTCAAGGAAAATCTATCTGTAATTTTCATTCACGTCATTTTTTTCCTTCCAGACAGTTTTGCTTACTTTTCCTAACTCTTGCTCATAATAACTCCCCAGCGACCTCTGGGTAGAGACCTGCCCAGTCTGGTAATTACCTCGGCAACAGCATTCCCAATATTTGAAATGTTAAACTAAAGATGACTGCAGTCCAATTTCTTTGTTTGTTGTTTTCAGTGTTTTTTTTTCTCATTGCCATTTAGGGTGACATGTAAATCTCTTGATTTCTATTCTGAGTGGGAAACTGTCCATTCAAAGTAGAGACACCCTTGAATACACGTAGCCAGTGATTGAAGAGAAGATGTAGATTGTCACTGAAAGAAAAATAATGGCAGCAGGAGGAAGAAGCCACTCAGTAAACCTGCTTTTGAATAGGTCCTTTTCACAAAGGTCCATGGTTCCAATTCTTATCCCTTAACCAGCTTGGGCCAAGAGCAAAGATACACATTGTCACATGAGACACGGTGGCCCATGGTAAGGACATTGGTGGCTTGCCTGGGATAGTGCACTCTTCAATATCTCCGATTCTTATTCTAAATCTCACCATTACTCCATTGTCCACAGGTGAAATCCACAAACAGAAAGAGAAGACAGAGACCTGCAAGGAGATGTAAGAAATGAACAGACACACATT